ACCTCGTCTCCCACCATCTAATTTGCGATCTACACCAGAAAGTTTTTGTTGAATCTGCAAGGTTGAAATCATTGTAGTTGACAGAAGTTATAAAGAAAATGTATTGCAACTTTATGTCACTTACAAGGTAATCCATGGAAACTGCTTTAACAGAATGAAGGGCCTTCACTCCAATGCGCACAATTTTAGGGTTGTAAGTGTTGTTATTTTCATCTCGGATTCCTGAAACAACAAAAAAAAACATCATTTCATTACTTAATTTGTGCATGATGCTTCCTAGTGATAGCATGAGTGATGAGTCTAAAAATGTATGAGCACACCAGATGCACAAAAAGAAAAACAGAGAGAGAAGGGTTGGGGAGCATTGTGTCTGTACTGGATATTTAGCACCGAAAACCTTTACCTGTCTTAAGAACACGCAACACGATCTCATCAAGTGCTGAGTTGGATGGAGCACAGACCAACACATGGGCCCGATACTTGCGATTGGAACTTACGACTTCAGGTTTCTGTAAAGATTTTTTTTGGCCATGTAAGGGATAAAATAGTCCAGGAACCTGAGTAAAATTTAGCAAGTATACCATATAAAAGAGTACCAGTTCATTTCCTGTTGGGTAAAATCCATCATCACCATCAACAGGCATAATCAAATCTCGAGGATTTGCACCAAGTAACCAAGGAGATGCCTTCATCCAGTGTGCACGCCTGTCATGTGAACTCCCCAGTTATCGGTGCCAACAGAAATTTGCAGTCGCATGGTGTTTGAAAAACTAGAATCAGTAATCCATCAAAATAACATAAAATTCTTAGCTGTTCCACTTCCCACACAGAAAAGCTAGAAAATAAAAAGGCTACAAAATATGGTACCATAAACAAAACAACCTTTTCCTCCCAGCACTCCCTAGTTCGTGTGGAGGATTTGAGATATCAAAGGAACAAAAGCAATGTCAAAACTAAGATATTTTATTTTTCTAGTAACCAACACATAACCATGCAGATCTATAAGAGAAACCAGTTAAGGATGGAGCATTTCAAAGGGAAACTCACAATTTGAAGCAGCTAGATATTATTAATCAGCTTTATATCCTTCCCATTTTCCATACCCCAGCCCAAAGCCAAATAAATATATTAGAAACTAACTAGGAGGTCTGCATTCTTAACGTACTTGCCATCAATGTCCAGTTCTGGCCCATGCTTTAGAACATCAAGTCCTCCTCTGCATTAAGCATCACAAAGCATAAGAGATGGATGCGCGAAATTTAAGATTTCAAGAACTGCAGTATAATTACTATCTCTCATATATGATAAACATGGAGCTTTTCTATCCTCACAATTGGAATTACTATTCCATACACCAAAATATAAAGAATAACCAAGTGAGTTTGTTACTTGATCTGCATTCTTGCAGGAGCAGAATGGAGAATAGCACTAAGGAGTCCAAGAATAGTTTGTGTCTTTCCTGTTCCTGGAGGGCCCTGCAAATAAGCAGATAGAACTTAGAAGAACATAAATCAGCAAATCGCGTATTACTCTTAAATAGTGTTATGTGTTCGATCTGCACATCATTCAAAAGAAAAACATATAGCTAAAACAGCTCAGGTATTTGCAATACTTTCACATAACTAATCAAGACAGGTAAACAATAACAATGCAAATTAATAGTGGCAAAAAAATAACAGACCTGAATAAGAACAAAGGATCTGCGTGAAAGACCTGCCTAGAGAAAAATTCAGTAACTATCAGAGCCATGATTTTAAATAAATATTAGGAACACAATACATACGCCAACAATGCGAAAATCACAAAGGATGCTCACATTGACTGCTTCTAGCTGGGAATCGTTAAGATTTGTTTTGAGGTAATCCATAAGTGGCTCAGGAACATTCCACGCACGACTTTGATCATCACCATCCTTGTGCTTCTCAGTAGCTGAAAGAATCAAATCCTTAAAAGGTAGAGAAGCTACAGAATGCATAGCTGTGAACTCCCGCATTATTGTAGACAAGCTGCAGACCTGAAAATTTAGACGAGAAAATGGCATATCAAGCAGTACATGCCGTCAATAAACGATGCAACCATGAAAGACTCAGGTGCTTGTTTTAGAACAATTGAGACTCGCCTTCAGTATCCACAGCAAGCTATTTTGACTTGCAATGGTGGAAGCAAAATGTTGCAGCCTTGTAGAGTTCACAGGCTTTGCAACATTCAGATTTACAATTTCACCTGCCACAAAAGTTCTAAGCGAAATATGTAAGCCACCACCACGCTGTTCCACCAATGCAAAGGCGTATGCATTAGGGGTTGATCCCTCCTCAAACTGCAAAAGTGCAGGCACATCAGTTCATCACATAATGTACTCGGCTACAGGCTACTTGCCAGATTGATTTATTTCGGTATAGTTCATCACATAATGTACTCGGCTACAGACTACTTGCCAGACTGATCTAAGTATGATATCACAGCCATAACTATATGGCACATTTTGCTCTGTTCTTAGACAAAATGTCCAAAATGTAAGAACTAAGAACTCAGGAAATACATCTAGATATTTTATGGGTTTCGGTTATTAAATATTATGCAAATGGCCACCTACCAAATAAAAGTTTACACATTTCGTCCCAATCAGTCATTACCTTGGTATTTTCATATCAGGACCAGCTAAAGTACAAAATTTATTTGCACAACACTTACTTTCTCCTTGGAGAGAAGCAGTAGGTCATTCTCTGACACATTATCCTGAAAATTGTCTTCCACCGCCACAGAGAGCTTGTGGAACCCCACGGACTCTGTGCAAGATCCCACTGCCCCCCTCCGCCAGTCCATCCCAGATTCTACACACACCACACAAGGTCAAAACATAAATTAAAAAAATCCCAATTGGCAACTCACCAGCGAAATAAGAGCAAGCAACATGCTGCGTTGAGAAAGAAGCAAAGCGCAGGAGCACACGCCCTAACCTTCCTCCTCATCACTGCGTCCCTGGATGATCTGCGCCTTGACCTCCTCGAAGAGCAGTGGCTCAAAGACACCGAGGTACTCGCCCACCGAGTCGTATGTGTTCTTCACACGCTGCAGCACCTTGGCCTGCTTGCCGCCCTGACCCCCGAGCCGGAGAAGGTTAGGGATTTAGAAAATTTTGTTATGGATGGTATGGCGGGCGGGTGGTGGGTGTGGTGAGGTTGATGTGCGTACCTTGGATTCGGTGATGAGGCGGAGGTAATCCCAGCTTAGGACAATCTTTTGGAAATGGTCCATGGTGGAGGAAGTTGACGTGCCGCCGCTGGACTTCTCCACCGTCATTGGAAGGGCGGCCACTGGTGTACCTAGAATTTTAGCTTAGGTTATGCCATGCCAAGACTCTTAACATAATAACACCACGAATACCAAAAACGCAAGGCATCAGCAATCAACAGTGCATCAAAGACCAACGAGGGGAGGCAGTAAATCATTTAATAACTAGTTTGAAGTCTGTACTTCTATATATAATTTGTATACTGCTGAGCATCAGCAATCAACAATGAAGTCTGAAACAATTACCAAAGAGGAGCGGCTGTACATCAGTTTGTTAACATTGCATTTCTTTTCTACACTATAGTCTGTACTGTTGTACATCAACCAGCAAGTGGTTCACATAAATACATAAAATTTCTCCACATCTCATTTTCATCCCATATCTACAAACCAAAGTGGCAAATAGGAGAGGCAGCCGGAGTGCCAGATAGACACAGGAGCTATGTTGCTAAAATACTTATGATATGTCATGTGTAACGGACACCCGAATATGCAAATTCTCCACACACACACAAATGATACAGGGATATAGCTAGGATCTTTTAGCGATAATAATTAAATCAAATAAAATAGTAGCAGCGGCTAAGCGATATTCAAGAACTTAATAATACCACAGTACAAGTACATTACAGATAAGAATGCTGAATTGCTAACTCAGTTAAATGCATAGTCATAGATCACGTTGCCAGTTACCATTCACCACACACATAGTAACAAACAACACAAAAGAAGATAACTACCGATATCAGACCGGAGCGCTGCTGCCGGGGGCGGACCCAGTAAAGGGACATGGGTGTACACATGTACACACGATGGTTTTTGCAAAAAGTTGGAAGGTAGTAGGAATCAAATAGCCAAAGCTCAATTTCGCACAGCAACCAAGGAAGAGAAGGGGTGAGAATACCTGGTGGGTGCTCGTCGCCGTCGAAGAGACCACCGAATGACGGCACCTGGCGTAGGGCAGCGGCGGCAGCGAGGGCGGCTGTAGCCCACCCAGTCGGCGCAGAGAGAGAGAGAGAGCGGGGTGGGCTACGGAGAGCTGATGCGGCGGCGGCGGTAACCCAGCAGGTTTGTTCGGCCCAGGCGGAGCGCAACCGGACGGCCTTCTCCTTCTACGCATTACAGTATATATTTTTATTTTTATTTCTTTCTGTTTCTCATCAAAAACAAATATTTCTTTCTTTCTATTAAGGCAAAGAGGCCGTGCTTGCCTTTCACGCACGTGGGTATATATTTTTTTTAATTACACAATATAACGTAGTCGATTAGTCGATTACAATGCACGCACACTCACCATCTATGAACGCACGCACGTAATCCCTACCCCTATGAGCATCTTTGAAGATTGGGCCGGCAAGTCCTCGATACGAGATTGACGAAGTCACCATAGACGTTTCACTATCGACAGGAACGCCGCTTACCACTGACAGAGCAAAGCCATTAAATTTTGAAATATTCGCTTCCATGAGGAGTCGAATCCAGGACCTTGCTACTAAAGTTCTTTGTAACCACTGAGCTATAAGCCCCTTCGCGGTTGGATGTATATATTGAGGGCAATTATGTATTTGATACAGGAACAAATCAGTTTTCTTTATTTAATACTAAATTTTTTGAACATTTTTATTTGGCATCGAGTTAAAAATTTCTTCTGTAAATGGCACTACCATCCATTTAGTGCATCCATCCGTCAGCTGACTGCATTGACCCTGTCACGTTTGTTTCGAAAGTACCGAAATACCCCTCTCGAACAGCGATAGGTAGTGCATGAACACCCAGCACGCCGGCATCGCCGACCGCGCGATGAAGTAGCCCGAGAAGAGGAAGAAGGAGCCCATCACTCCCTGGATCGCCGCGTTCCCCACCACGAAGTCCGGCGCCGCCGCCGCCGCGAAGCACACCACCACCGAGTTCGCCGTGTACAGGATCAGCCATATCACCAGCAGGAAGTAGCCGAACGCCACCGCCGTGCGACGGAGACCCGCCAGCCAGTACACGGGCGCCGCGAACACGACGGCCAGCGCCAGCTGGAAGGGCAGGAACACCACCGCGTTGGCCACCGCGTACGACGACACCGGGTACGCCCCCGACGACGTCTCCTTGGCCAGGATGTCGCGCTCCTGCAGGAAGATGGGCAGCGCCTCCGTGGTGGACGACGGGAGGAAGGTGAGCAGGAAGGCGAAGAGGCCCACGCGCTCCGCCACCTTGTCCTCGCCGAGGTCGTAGAAGATGGAGCCCAGCGCAAGCCCCGCCACCAGCATGCACACGGTGCGGCACGCGAAGAGCTGCCGCGTCCGCGCCACGTTCTTGAAGAAGCGCTGGGACAGCACCGCGACCTCGCGCGCCCGCGAGTTGGCGTACCAACGCGCGCTGAAGAGCAGCGTCTCGCGCACGGTGAGCAGCGGGAAGAGTACGTCCTGTTGGGTGACGTAGCCGGAGACGCGGCGGAGGTCGGCGCTGTGGGCGGCGGCGCCGTCGAGGAGGAGGAGGTCGTGCTGCGGGGACGGGGAGAGGCGGCCAGCGAGGATCTCGAGCAGGGTGGACTTGCCGGCGCCGCTGGGGCCAACGATGGCGAGCAGCTCGCCGGGGCGCGCGCGGCAGGAGACGTCCCTGAGCACATGGCGGACGCTGTGGTGGTGGTGGTGGTCCTGGTGGTCTTGGACATGGACGTCGTCGTCTGACCTGCTCCAGACCTTGAGAGGAGGGTGTGGTCGGCTGGAGACGGTGATGCGGTAGTTGATGCCGCTGGCTTGGATCTCGCAGCCGCCGGCGTAGGAATTCTTCGGCATTGCTCGCTGCTGCGGATGATGACGGTATGTAATACAGTGGTTTGTCTTCCTGGATCCTTAATTGGCGCTGATGATGAGCTAGGCGGCGGCTGCCTTACTTTAGACTGGGCGTGGCATGGCTTGCGCTCGGTTTGTGCATGCGTCTCAGCTAGAGAAGCTAGCAATGGCGGGTGGTGAGCTTGGAGACTGGAGAGTGAGCGTGTGGTGTGGCTCCCCAGCCGTGGAGTGGAAGGAAGGAGCTGAGCTGAGCTAGGACACTACTGGCACGTACGCGAGCGCGTGCTACTCCTATACCTGTACCTACTATTACCAATTTAAAATTTATTAATTATTTATTTACAGTCTTCAATTGTCAAAAATTAACATTTTAGTTTAAAGTATATTTATAATATTTATGATTTTTTTATTTGACAACCTATCTATTTATTTTTTTTCCTATTTAGCACCATCAACTTTTGCTACAATCAATGGTATTTATATCATTTTACTAGCCACTTGACACCGTTACTGGTCTAAATGGACGGCAGTGCCATTTACGAAAGAAAATTTTAACTCGATGCTAGTTAAGGAAATTCAAATTTTCTAATACCAAATATGAAAGACCGATTTGTTTTAGTGTCAAATACATAATTCTCTATATATTGTGTTTGAGTCATGTTTGGTTGGCTACTCAAATCATCTAGCTAGATCTAGTAGGTAATATAAAAGGAAGTAACTAGCCAGGCTTAAAAGGAAAAGCAGAGGTCTGTTTTAGCTTGGCTAGTTGCTAGTGATTCAGTGGCCTAGGCTGATATAACTTTTCATCTTTTTCTCTGGTTAGGACATGGACGAGGAGAATGACAGCCACAGAGGAGTGCGTGACGAGGAGGGCTCCTACCCAGACGTCGTCGATGTGGGACGCCACCCTCTCTAGCTAATGTCCACCTCGCCCGCAACCTACAACCACCTAGATGTGCTAGTAGACATGAGCCGGTGGCCCGGGACAGTGGCGGGCTCATGCTGGGACACGAGAGACAGCACGCGTCAACACAGGAGGGGGAGGGGGAATGTCTGCATCGCGTTGGCGTGAGACGGAGGCAAGTTCGTGCGATGACGGCATGACCATGCGAGACAGCGACAAAGATGACAAACCAAGACGAATGTGGTTGAGGTAAGATCACCATAGCAAAAGAAGAGGTAACAGTCAGATAAACCAGCAACCAAACAAGAATTTAGTCAATACAGGCTTAGCTAACATATGACAACCAAACAAATGTATATGTTGATTAACTTGGACCTGCCAAAGTAGCTTGCTAGCCAAGCTTGCTAGAGAAACACACCCTTCATCATTTTGGCACCCTTCCCTACCCACCCCTTCCTCAAGTCTATGGCTATCACTATGTCCTCTGCCGGCCTCAAGTGAAGTCCGGTGAGACCTTTAGCAAGTCAGTGCTTAGAGTTTTGATTTATGTGTTTTGTATTATCCAAAAAATGCCTTTAGGAAGACAGGTAGAAGGCAATAGTATCGATCAAGATGGCGATAAGGGCAAGACAGCATAAACGCCGCCACCGGGAGGAGGGAGAGGACTATGCCAATGACAAAGGCACCGATTTGAGAGCAAGAGAGCAGATGGATGTTAAAATTAGGACAAAGGCAATCTTGGGTGGTGCGGAGGCGGCATTTTACTACCGAAGCATAGAGCCGGATGTCGGGGCACTCGGTTTAGGCCCTGTTTTCGCTCCTTGATTTTCCGTTGGAGTGATTCCATTGAATTACTAGGAGGCAGCAGGGTGGGGAGCTGCTGATTCCAGCAGAATATAACATGGAGCAGGGTGAAATAGGTTTTTTTTTAGCTCCCAGCACGTAGTGTAAAAGGATAAGTGATTCTCTTCTAATCTCCACTTGAATCAGTTGATATTTTTATCATTTGGCTGGTGGTAGGAATGGTTCTATTCGGAGATGCTGAAGTTGGAGAGTTGGGAGTGGCTACCGGAACTCGGAGCCGGCCGCCGGGTTTAGAGTTGGGAGTGGCCACTGGCCCACGGGCGATGGCGAAGGCATCATCAGCAGGAAAGTGCCCGAGCTAGACTGCGAGCTGCGGCAGGGGAACAGTGAGATAATGGAGGGTTGCCAAAATTAGATATTTTTTCCATTTTTTGTGTGTGCGTAGTCTAATGCATGGCCAGTCGTATGCATTACTACCTGTGTCCAGATCGCAGGTTACTTAAAAATGGTGTGAAACAGGATAACATGGTCGCACAAGTAGCAATGCTGGAAATGCTGTCCATGGTGAAATGCTGACAACGATGTTCAATAATAAGATCTTGCTCGATGTCAAATGTGATAATACTAAATTGCTCAATGTCGAAAGAACAATATCACAACTACAAACATTTCTGAATCTGACCATAAGTTATTCCAAGAAAGGAAAATCAATGCCAAGTATATACATCTCCAAGAGATGATGGACAAGTCTGTAATGTTAAACTCACTCTAAGCAACAACTCCGAGCGACCAAGTTGTGACAAGTTCTTCACACAGGACAACCTCGGACTGAAGATCCTGCATGTTGAGCAAAACGATTACCCCTTGTATATTATTCCAGGTTCCATTCGCGCCCACGGCCTTGGTGCTGTTGAGCAAAGATGCACTAGTTACGAGAGAAAAATGAGTTTCCTAAAGGGAATGAAAAAAAAAGTTTATTAGCTTGCCGCCTCAAACAAGATCATGGAACAATTGGTTTCTTCTCTGTCTTTCAATAGTAATATGTTAGTTGGATTGTAAAAGAGATCTTGTAGAACGCTCCCCTAATATTAAGCTGCCCAAGCTCAGTTGGTCAAGGGTGTAGATGCCAATTTGGGTGCGAGTCCTCCTAAATGTGAATTTGGGTGCCTCTATTTTCTTCTTAATAAAATGCCACATAGTTCCTCCTAGGTTGGACTGGTTTTTTAGAACATTCCCCTAATAGCTTTTGTTGGCAGTCACAGTAAATATCATGCAAGGATCTAGCTGTGACTGCAATCTACAATATAATATGCAAGATGCATGCTAGTTTATAATTGCAATTTCTCGACGGGAAGAATCTCTAGTCATGTTTAATTCTGCCACCCCACCAAGCTGTAGGTAGCTCCGTCAGTGCACCACTAATCCCCATGTATTTTGGAGTTTTTTCTCGAACAACGAAGGAGAGCTACGTGTCATTTCATTTAAGAAAATTAGTATATATATGTGCAAATAGAAATGGAAAAATGTGAGGAGCCACTGCATTTTGGAGTTTTTTTTTTCGAACAACGCAGGAGACCTGCATGTCATTTCATTTAATAAAAAAAATTACTAAAAGGAGAGATCAAGAGGCCTCTCCAAGACCAACCCCTTACCTTACATTAGCACCTATTACAAAATTTTGGAGTTAATGTAACAGCTAATATTTAAATGACAATTTTCTTTTGTAATGAGGAAAGGCTGTACAAAAGGAACGGCTTAACATGGTTTTAAAATTACTATGTCCTATATTGACAAAGGACTTGGTTTTATAAAATTCAGATTTCTGGAAATCAACAGTGGTTACTAGCATCATCATACCTACTTGGAGAACCTCTTACTGAAGATTCCTGCATGTTGGGCAAAACCATTTCCCCTTGAATCTCGTTTCTGGTGTCAGACCCACACACGTGTAATGGAACCATTCACCTCCTTCACACTGTAGCATCAAGGTGAAACAGTTAGCATCTATAAGAGAGAGGTTGCTCTCACACAAAAAAGAAATTTTGTATTGTAACATAACAAGCTTTGGTGTTTCTAATGTGATGGTTCAACACAACTGTGGATTCGAATCATAACATTTGTTCGTCAGAAACCTTTCTTTAGTAATGATGTTTGGAAATCATACTTATTATAGTGCAGGCTTTAGCATGATCACAGAGTCATACACCATGCATGTAAGCATATGACCATGAATTGTTGACAAAAAATATTCAGATACACCATGTAGGTTCTTTAACTGGTTTACAAAGAATTATTTGTTTCTCTATTTTCTTTCTTCGAAGGTGTATACATTGATAATAAGTAATAACAGTTTATCAAACATCAAATACTGGCAATGCTCAACGACGTAAGATGGCCTATGTATCAAGCAAACCAATTGAACAGGGTTTTCTTTTTGCTGTGCACAATGGCAACAGAAGAAAACTACAAACTTGAAGATAAGATCATAGATTATCAGTCAAGCTGCAACAAAGCATAATGAATGCTACATTCTGTTGTTTGAAATGGGAAAAAGAAAATCCTAAAATCACAGCAAAGATCTAAAGCTTATCCTCTGATTAGACTAGAACGTAAAGGAAACTATAAGTTTACTCTGAAAGATAACTCATGAGGCATGATTATTTGGCACCAAGATGACTTACATTCTCATTGTCACAAGCAATCATGTCACCATATGAAATCTGAAATAGCAATAGCAAAGAAATCTTATTCAGAAAGTGATTGCGACATAAAAATTGTTTCATGCAAATAAGTTTCAGGAAATATTAACACATATATTATCTTCAAACCTGGTGGCATATACAGTATGTCGGTTCATTTGGATCAATTGTTTGATCCACATCCATAGATGTACCTGCTTTCTTGCTGCTACCTGGAGGGGGCATTAAGTCAAAGTCCATACCCCTTTCCCTGTCCCATTCCCTCTCTCTAAATTTCTTTGATGCTTGAGGCGTACTAAAACCAAACCTCCTTTTCTCATCCCTGCTAACCACCGGAACTAGAGGAAGGACTGTAGGTTCATCTGAAGGTATCTTCCCTTCTGCAATTAAAATAGAAAAATAATAATAATAATCTGTTTGACAAAGATCTAAGGATGGCAGCCCACAATAATGCCTAGCATCTGCCACGACTGCTAATACCATGCTTTAAATCTTCTGCAAACTGGCCCAAGTCTTCATCAAGGCGTTTTATATGGCTCTCTATCTGTACAATAATGCACAAGGTGCTTGCAATTAGATATCCACGCAAAGCCAGTGACACTGAATAAAGTGGTAAGACTATAGAAGTTGGTATTTCATTTCTAGATTGATCCACATTCACCAAAATCTCTTTACTTCCAGTGGGCGCACCTGTTAGGCTTCTAATATAAACATCTAATCTTAGATATATGGAGGCATATCAAACAATATAAATCGTATCAGGCTCTTCACATTCAAATTCAATTTCTTCTTGCTGACCATTATCTAGTAGTTCTAGTTAGTACTCATATTTGAATTTGCGGCAGCTTATAACTCAGAACATATCAATGAGACAATGACTGCAAAGACTTGACCCTAGAATTAGTTTAAGTTTGTATAACATTACAAATGCATACTCTCATAATGCTTTTTGGATTTCAGATTTAAAAAAAGTTGGACCTGACCGTAGAATAGAAAGAAACAGCAACTAAGATAGTTATTAAATATGGAATAAATATATTGTTGCACTAGGTGAGCATTTAAAATTGAAAAGAACTCATACCATCAGTTTCTTGAACCTAGGACCACAGGGAAACAACAGGAAGGATGCAGTACCAGGTCATAAGCTTGGCGTGCCAGTAAGACTTTCTCGGTGCAAAGATTCAGAGCATTGTCCTGGCTAGCTTCAATGTCCTTCTTCATCCTCTCCGACTCATCATCATCCATGTTTGACCTGTCATACCCATGGGATGACACTCCCAGAATATACTTTATCTGTTCTTTGGTCTGACCCATAATGCCTGAAACACAAAATCGCATAGGCAAAAACAATTATCCACTCATCATCACATCACGAAAATGCCAACTTAGCATCAATTGACACTAAAAGAAATTGTCATACTCCGTCCCGAAAAGAGTGCAATTCTAGCTACAGTTCTAAGTCAGACCATATTTAAATTGAGCAAAAATTGTACAATAAACTAGTATCCCTAAAATTTATGACATCAAATAGGTATCATTATTCATCATGTAACATATTTTCATAGCTCAGCTGTTGATACTATTTTCTACAAACTTAGTCAAATTTAAATTAGTCTGTCTTGGACAATAAGCAAACATAAGATATGCAAAATTTCGAACTGGTATCCTTATATATATACTAAGAAAAACAGAAATGGGGAAGAAATCATCACCATGTGCCCTGTCATCCAGCTCGCGCATGGTGGAGAGAATCCTCTGCAGGTCGCCAGCCAGGGTGCTCGAGTCTGCACAATTCGAAACACAAAATAAACTGGTACGGACGAACAATCGGAGGGGGTAGCAAACTCAATAATCCGTAAAATAGGGGCGCGTAAGTCTCACACTCGAGGTAGTCGTCGACATACACGCCGGTCCGAGCGATCGCCATGCCTGTCTATGATGGCTCCCGGATTCCGCGTCTCCGGGCAGGGTTCGATGGATCGATGCCTCGATTTGGGGAACTAGGGGTGGAGAGACGAACCGTAACGGGACGGGACGGGACGGTCCTCTTCTCGCTGGCGTTTGGATGAGGGGAGAAGTGGGATGGGCTCGTCCCACAGGCGAATATCCACCGTAGATGCGGGACGGGGTCGTCCCGTTTGCAGGGCGTGAAGCGCCGTCTCCCGAGAGGTCGAACTCGAGGACAGCGTGGCGGTCTCCGGCGAAGGTGTGGGTGCGCAGGGCCAAGGGAGCGTGGACGAGCTTCGGTGAGGGCGCTGAATCGACCTTCGACCGCTGGCTCGGGGAAACGCGAGCCGGCAGCGACTCAGGGAAGCGCGGACCCGCACGGGGAAGCTCGAACGGCCGACGACGACGGCTCGGGGAGGCCCCAGCGACCTAGTGGGCTGTGGGCGGCGGCGAATCTACCCGCGCGAGGTCACGATACGCGAGAAGATGGCCGGGGGGGGGGGGGGGGGGGGGGGGGGGGGAGGAGTCCACGAATTGGGCTGAAGGTCATGGAACATGGCCCAATAGTCACCGGGCCAACAAACCGTTTTCAGGGAAGCAGCACTGCAGCAGGCCATCAGCGAGTCATCGACCGTCAGACGTCAAATCAACCTCACCTTCCAATTCCCTCAAAAAAAACCTCACCTTCCAATTTGTTGCCGGTGCATTGCAACGGCACGTCATGCATTTCAATTCATCTTAAAATCACAATCCACAATATGCTTGAACGTTTGCCACTCTAACTCGTATGTGCACGAGAAATTTGAAGTTTTATCAGTGACCGTGCCATGCACTTCAATTTGTTTGCTCTAACTCGTATAGTATGGAATTGAGTGAAAGACCATACAAACCAATGCACTTTAATACTATATATAATATAACTAGCAAACGTGTTGCAAGGAGATGTCCGGATATACATGTTGTGTGGTCACTTGATTCTATCGAGCCAATTATAATAAGCTAGCTATCTTTGTTCATTTAATTGAGTTTAGCTCAACCTTATTTCAATTGAATCAAATAAATTCAAATTCCATAACAAATGCTAGATCCAAACCCAAAGAATGTCACCATTAAATTAATAGAATTGATCTAGGAAATGTAAGTATGGTGTCAAATTAAGGACTTAATAAACCGAGTGTGCATATTACAAGGAAGAAAAATATCCATAGAAGTCGTCAACTATGAAAGGAGAACCGACACAAGTTTTTCTCATCCTAAAAAAACCCTAGGAACAGAGACATTACGAAAAATGCCTCGAGATATGGTGCTAACAAGGTTCCACTTGTTACATTTATTTATCCATGATCCTATTCTCTTTTCTTGAAAGATCCGATAGTACCAGTTTATATTAATATATTTCATCTATTCTAAATTGTAAGCCATTCTAACATAATATATAGAGTTAAACGCATGAGAGGTCCTTGAACTTGTCACGGGGTGTCACTTAGGTCCATGAACTTGGAAAATGCATTTTTGTATACCTAAACTTGTTAAATGATACACCGCAGGTCCATACATGTCATGCAGACATTTTATCTAACGTGGCGTTGCCATGTGGCGAAAAATATGCAGGGAACCCCCTAAAACCCCATCCCCTCAACATGCAGTCCTGCACCTATCGGTGTTTCGAGTAAACACCAACGAGTAAATTTCTAATATTGTGCGTCTAACCCGGATGGTGTGCTAAGAGGACACGAGGTTTATACTGGTTCGGACAGAATGTCCCTACGTCCAGTTCATTGTTGTTGCTCGTGTTACTAGCACTGAAAAGTTCGTAGTAGGGGTTACAAACGGTCGAGAGAGGGACAGGTCCCAAATCTCTGGTGGTGTGTATGGTGATGAGTTCTGATTCGAGTTGAGTTGAATCGAGTTCGAATGTGGTGCTCTGATCGTTTGTCCGATGCCCCTCTAAGGGACGCCCTATTTTTTCTTTTATAGGGCAAGGGAAAGCAAGGGTTACAATGAGAGGAAAGAGAAGAATGAGAGGGAGAGGAAGTCCTCCAGGGTCACCAGACCTTTCCTTTCCTTTGTGCGGGCCCCGCTGACATGGCCGGTGGTGACAAGGATAGCCCCACACCAGGCGCCTGTCCGCCTAATGATGCCATGCCCTGGCGTTGTCAACGGGTCGTGACGTCCCATCCCGCTCCGACGGGTGGTGCGGCGACCCAGCGTGTTGATCAGCGACCGTACAGGGAGTAGGCAGCACAGTGACCACGCGTCCATCACTATGGGTGATGTGAGTCCCCTGGAATGACATGTTGCGGGGACGGGTCGTGTTGAGACATGACCGCTCCTTGCACGATGCCAGAAGTTTGACCTTGGGTTGTACTTTCTGGCCCGTAGTGGTTGGCGGCGACGTGAGCTTCCGTTAGGAGCCGTGCCTGAGATATCGAGCGAGGCAGAGCCAGCCCTCAGACATCAGACGAGGTGGAGCTAGCCTACAGATGTCGGGGGAGGCAAAGTCAGCCCTCAGACATTGGGCGAGGCGGAGCCAATCTACAGACGTCGGGTGAGGCAGAGCCGGCCCTCAAGGGTCGGACGAGGCGGAGCCTACCCTCAGACGTCAGGCGAGGCGGAGCCCGTCCTCAGGAGTCGGGCGAGGCGGAGCCCGTGGCCTTGGTATCGGTTAGAGCCGTAGTCACACCTTTGACTACCTAGATGGATTAACGTATAACAACCATTTTCCCCTCCTCTTTGGGTACCCTAGTATTGGTCCCCGACAGTAGCCCTCGAGCTTTCGAATGAGTAGAATACTTCTTCGAAGGCTTCTCCGAATCGGGGGACCCTGAGAGCCTTGGCCTTCTTTTGGCGCCCCCGACGTGTCCTGTGGACGGTGATTCCCTCTTGTCGAGGCCAGGCCCTTCGTGGGTAGGGCCATGAGTTTTTGATGGTTTGGAAAAGGTCTTTCCTAATTGGGGCCCCGGTATCCCGTTCGCGGGGATCCAGCTAGGGCCAACTAGTGACCGACTCTAGATTCTCAATGGTCAATTCATACAGTTCTCGGGTCCGTTCGACCGGTCCCGAGGGCTCTTTGCCTTCCTTAGGGAAAAACAATGGATCACATCCGGCCGAGACTTGAATGTGGGCTAGGATGCCCATAGCGCTTGTGCGCCTGGGTGCTGGTCGCTAGCGGACCCACCCCTTTCTACTTCCTTACCATGAAGGTACCTAGAGCGGTTGTCGAACCTGTTGATGGGCCAACCTTTGAGCTCCTAGGCCTAGAGGGGCCACAGAGGTGTTTTTAGATCCGTATTTCTCGCACTTGTAACGAGTCGTGACCCGTCCAGAGAGGCGAAATGTCCAGCGAGTTTCCTGAGGGAACGAGTAGGGATTACGTGCGCATATCCCGCGGCATGACGTTGTGGTAGATCATGGCAGGCGCGAAGATCTATGCGGGCAATTAGTTTCCTCATGCCTGTCGCCCCTATAAAACCAAAGGGTTCGCCCCCTGGGTTTTATACCTTGCCCTCTTGCCTTCGCATCTGCAACCGTCGCCGCCAATCGCCTAGGCTTCCTGCATCCGCATCCGCACCACCATCGATCTCACATCCACCCACCCCCATCTTCCAATGGATCCGTGGTACTGCTCTGACATCACCTTCCAGCGCTTAGAGGGCCTTATCCGTCGTGGCCTTCTCTGTGCGAGGACCTCGGCCAAGAAGTGGCTGCTGCCCAACGAGGAGGATGTGCCGTCGCCGCCCAATGGCTATGTGGTGTCATTCACGCACTTCCATGAGCACGGGTTCGCCACCCCCACCCATAAATTTCTTCGAGGACTACTTCATTACTACAAGATCGAGCTTCAACACCTTAATCCCAACGAGATTCAGCATATGGCGGCGTTCGTCGCCATGTGCGAGGGATTCCTAGGGATCAGTCCCCACTTTGATTTGTGGTGGCACTTCTTCGCCGTCACCCTCCAGAGGAAGAGGGAGAAGAGTGGCAGGCAGGAGCTGCATACGCCGATGGGATGCGTCGACATCCACCTCCGAAACAACTGGGTCGATGAGTACCCGTCGACGTGGCTGTCGACCTCCAACAAGGGGTGGCACTCGTAGTGGTTCTATCTCAAGAACGATGCCGCTACCCCCCCCCTGTCGGAGTTCACTGTGCGCCTGATCGAAGAGGCCCCGAAGTCATGGAGAAAGTGGGGTGTCCCCAAGAAGAAGATCATGGAGAATCCACATCCTCAAGGAGTGTCCCGGGAGAGGACAAGAAGACCACGAGGGTGGCGCCGGAAGAGGCCGCGCCCACCTCGCCGCCGCCATTCCACGACGCTCCATCCCTCTGAGGTCGGTCAGAGGACATTAAGGAGCGGCTGAATGACGTGGCACCCCTTGATTTCATCACCGTGGGACATACTCCGACGCGAGGAGGGTCATCTTTGGCGCGCCTCCTCTTCAATTGATTTTCCGACCTCTTGATACTAACATTGAGAGGGGCACCAACGAGGGACCTCATCCTCACGGATCACCCAACCGTTCTTGATTCGGCGATGGAATCGCGCCAAGGGCGGCGGTGAGGCGTCATTCAAGATGGAAGAGACGACGCTTGCCGAGGGGTGCTCTCCCACTCAGGTCTCCTAGGAGTGACATTAAGGAGGCGCTGAAGCTTCGTCCTCGGGATGGCAAAACGGTTAACCGAAGGTTACCCCCTTGATTTAAGTCGATCCAAATAATTCAGATTTCCGTATGGTACTAAACCTGGTTGCTGGACATTTTCGCGATGCTACGGAACCACCGTGAATGAGAGTTTGAATCGCCCGCCCAATTCGGATGAACAAGACCAACTTCAAGAACCCACTTTGGATGCTACGAAGAGCATCTTATTCTCGCTTTTGTAAGTTTCTCCTTGGGCCCACTTTTCCCATTAGGATGTTACAATCCCCCTAAAGATTCGACGTCCCCGTCGAATGCCGACCTCTTGATTTACTAATCATTC